CATCTCCCACTTGTTATTAGACTGGTGATTCACAAACTGTGCGCTACGGCGCCCCGGGGAGCCGCGGCCTCTTCACAGAGGCGCCGCGAAATATTGTATAAGCTTAAATTTGAGAAAATGTGCAGTGATTCGCAGGCTCATCCATCACATTAATTATTAAATATTAATTAAATGTTAATAAAGTAAAAAAACTAATAAAGATACACGAGTTTTATTTATTTTTATCTCTAACTTACGAATAGTCATACTTAGGGTAGGGCGCCATGGAAAAATTTTAATTGAAAAAGGGCGCCGCGACTAAGAAAAGTCTGGGAACCCTTGACTTAGACGATTTAATTCTTTGGTACACAGTTGCTTCGGATAGCTGGGATTTTATTTTAATTACTCAGTCAGTGGAATTATGGTATAAAAACCAAAAAGCATTCCTGAACACATTCAGGGTGTTTGACAGATGCAAAGTCGAGAAAGCATCGGATATGTTGCTTTCAGGAAAAGAATCTGATCCACTCACAGAAGATTACCAGACTTTGGTCATTTTTGCTGTCTAAAACTACACAAGTCTTGCTATGACGATTGCTATTTTACCAATAAGGCATCACTAGACAAGATAAAATCTTGAAGATATGAAGATTAAGATGTTGTGGCCTCTGGTATGGTCGCAGTCTTCTACTAAGTCGCCCTGACAACAAGACCAAGTTGCGACAACAAGATCCACCCACTTCTATAAAGATAAAATCTTCCTACAAAATTCAATTCTCTCCTACCGCTTATTTTATGGAATTGAAAGTGGTTTCTCAGAACTAAACCAAAATAGAGAAATATACATATTTCCTCTCTATCTCCGGTCAGACTTGTCCCCAACATGGGCTCATTTTATGTCCAGAAATCACCTTAAATGGCTGACAGACGTGGCTGAGGATGCGAAATACAATTCCATCCTGCGCCATGGCGTAAGTGATCCTCGGTGCTGCAATCATGGAAGAGAGGAGGCTGGCTGTCAGGCCGAGGAGGCAGCCGGCCCCAATGAAAAAGAACATGCCAGTTCTCGCCTCTTCTGAGCCTCCTCCAACGCTGACACCGTTCAACAGGGCGAGCAGGTATGGGGCCCCATAGTCGACGGTGTACCAGGGCACATAAAGCACAAGAGCGAGTGAGCAAATGCTGATAATCAAGCTGACGAAGGCGACTGCAAACGCGTTCGCTCGTGGCATGCTGCGCGCTGGGTCGGCTGCCTCCTCGGCGCATGTCGAGATCATGTCGAAGCCAATAAAGGCATTAAAGCAGGTTGCTGCACCAGCCAACAGGCCGGGCACTCCGAAGGGTAGAAACCGAGCGCCCGGCACAAGGGCATGGCTGCCAAGGGCTGATGAAATCATACTCATGTTGGCCGGGACAGGGAGCAGAAGATATTCAGGGCGAGCGTAGACGAGCATGAAAATGGAGGCGACGAAGATGACGAGAAGATTGATGCCTGTGAAAATATTGTTGACGAGAGAACTGCCCTGAATCCCAAAACAGGAAACTATGCCGACCGACAAAACGACCGCAGCGCCAATGAGGTCAGGATACTCGCTGAGCACTCCTCCGGGCGAAGAGAGTCTGTCCAGCAGGAGTGGGCGATTTTAAGAGACGAAAATAGTTGGATAAAGAGGAGGGCAGGTGGTAGAATGGGTAGATGGAGTAAGAGGGAGGAATAAGAGTTGGCAGACTAACGATTGTTAGGGGAACCTTCATTTCATATGAAAGTGCATGAAGAAGAGATTAGTTGGTCGAG